TTTCAAATTTTTGGACTCGCAACGCCAAATTCAAAATATACTGTAAACGGTAGTTTAGTTAGCAGAATGATTTGGAAAAACATAGAAAATCAACAACTTTCGACAAAAGTTGACACTTTGCTTTTCATACCATTCGATTCGTCGCATATTTCTAGTCCGGGGACTTACTCAAACTTTTGCCACTTTTTGCCTCTCTCGGAATAAAACGGTCTGGCATCGAGAACGTCGACTAGCGGATAATGACATTATCCGCGGTTTCCAGTCTTTTTGTGGTTTTAAGCGTTCAAATATGTGAAATGATGTTGGTGCCATGCATTATGATGGGTGTCAAGGTCACGTGAAGGTCAAGTCAAGGTCATTGACCTTTGATGACCTTGGTTCACTTTTTCGACTTTTACTTGTTTCTAGGGTATTTTTTGGTGCTGATTTCGAATTTAGCAACGATTTGAATATTTACGAAGTAGTTCTGGTGCCTTCGTACCATTTTACGAAGCTGTCAGTATTTGGTGACACCTACTATGGATGGCCGGCGGGACGCCTACCTACTGGTTGATCTGACCTGACCTGACCCGACCTGGCCTAAATGCATAAAGACATCGTCTGTGATCAAAACTAGCATGGAATTCGTGATCAGCACCCCAAAATACCCCGCAACACCCTAACTTTACGATGTTTCAAGAGGTCTCGATTTCCCAACTTTAGTTGGGTCATTAAACTGACTTGGGAAGTCAACTAATGACTTTGGACTTTGAAATTGGATATATTCGGCCTCATCTCGTCATAGGCAGCACGCTTGATTTTTCCGCGAAGCTCTAGCTTGATCAGGGCCAAACGGCTGAGTCGGGGGTCCAATTGAACCCCCTATACTATGTTGATTATGCACATTTACAGGTAACATTCTCACCAGAACACACCAGCCAACATCTGTGCACAATCTGGCTACAATACTACCTATGGTTTGCCCTCTACCAGGGTTGTGCTTGACTCATGAGTCGAGTCAGAAATTTGACTCAACTCTGACTCAAATGAGTCAGATTTGAGTCGAGTCGGATAAAATGTTGAGCTGTTGAGTTGAGTCAGAGTTGAGTCGGACAAAAACATTAAGGCGTTGAGTTGAGTCAGAGTTGAGTCAGTAAAATAATTTTGACATCGAGTTGAGTCAAACAATGAGTCAGCTGACTCAACTTTCTAGAAACAAGCTTTTCATCCCCACACCCCGCTTAACAACTTTGCCCTGGCCCTGCTGCCGGATTTTTTTTTCACCCCCGCCCCGCTCAACAACTTTTTTATCTGAGTCAATTTTGAGTCAACTTACTTATACTTACTTATACTTATACTTATTAAGTGCGGAATTTTGAAAGGCCACTTGGCCTCAAGGATCCGGTCCTATCGAGCTCCTTGCAGTTGCAATGCCCTGACTCAGTCGTTAAGATGAGTTGTGTATTTCGAATGTGCCCAGTGTTTGTCCAGTCTGGCTTTGAATGCGTTTAGGCTGGGAGCGTCGACGACTGATGGCGGTAGTGCATTCCAATCGTTGATGACGCGGACGGAGAAGACATTTCGACGCACTCGGGAGACGGCCCTCGGTTTTGACAGCTTCCATCGGTGTCCGCGGGTGTTGCCTGCCACCGCCGCCGCGAAGAACCTCTCCGCCTCGAGGTCGATCCCCTGTCTCAGCACCTGGTAGACAGTTATCATGTCACCACGGCGACGGCGGTGGTAGAGAGACGGCATGTCGAGGATCCGGAGCCTCTCCTCATACGGCTGATTTCGGATGGTGGCGACCAGCTTCGTGGCCCTCCTCTGAACCTTTTCTACGCGCCTCTGGTCCTCCCGATTGAAGGGTCCCCAGATGGAATTGGCATATTCAAGGTGAGGCCGCACCATCGTTCGGAACAGCAGAGGCAGAGTGTTCTCATCTAGAAGGGCAAAACTTCGGCGGATCACGGACAGGATGCGCGAAGCCTTCGTAATCGCTGCAGCTGCCTGGTCGCGGAACTTGAGTTGATGGTCGACGTAGATCCCGAGGTCCTTCTCCACCGAGGTCTGGTCCAGCTGTGTGTCACCCATGCAGTAGACGTGGTTGCCATTGCGGGGGCCCAGATGCAGTGACTTGCACTTTGCTCTGTTGAAGGGCAGCTGCCAACGCTCCGACCATTCAACAAGCGTATCTAGGTCGGCTTGGAGGCTGAGAACGTCTGATGCCCGGCTGACACTCCTGTAAATTTTCGTGTCGTCTGCGAACATCTTGATAGAGGACGCGACTTCGCCGGGCAGGTCATTGACATAGACAACAAACAACAGCGGACCCAAGACAGTTCCCTGTGGTACCCCGCTGGTCACCGCGGCCCACTCCGACCTTGCACCGTTCACACGGACCCTCTGTTGTCTTCCCGTGAGGAACGCCTGCACCCACTTCAGGAGCTTGCCATCAACACCGCAGGCCCGCAGCTTCAGAAGCAGGCGCTGGTGTGGAACAGAGTTGAACGCTTTGCTGAAATCAAGGTAAACAGCATCAATTGAGTCACCCTTTTCTAGGCCTCTGGTCCACTCTTCAAGAGTCTCGAGTAGTTGAGTGCAACAGGATCTCCTCGGTCTGAATCCGTGCTGTGCACCACTCAACTGTCCCGTCCGGGTGAGATGTGCCATCAGCTGGTCGCGTATCAACGATTCTAGCACTTTACAGGGGACTGCTGTGAGAGTGACCGGTCTGTAGTTAAGAGGAGACGTCCTGAGGCCCTTTTTGAAGATTGGGACGATTTCATCAACGCACCAGTCTCTTGGGAGGATACCAGAGTCCACAGAGGAACGGAACAGCCGTGTCCATGTCTCCGCCATCGCTTCTGCCGTCTCGCGAAGAACTCTGGGGTGAAGTCCGTCCGGCCCTGGTGCACTGTCCGCGTTGAGCTTGAGAAGCTTCCCTTTCACCGATGCAACGCTGATGTCCACGTCCTCCAGACGGGGGCCCAGATATGAAGGAGTTAACGAAGGCAGGACAGCTGATTCAGTAGTAAAGACACTTTGGAAACAACGATTTAGCAGGCTCGCTTTCTCACTGTCTTGCCGTGCCATCGTCCCATCATCATCTTTGAGGTCCTCAACTCTTAGTTTGGTGCGCAATCGTGAGCCAGTGACTTACTTACTTGACTCAACAAAAAATTTGAGTCAAGTTTGAGTCGACTCATATTTTCATTGAGCCGCTTGAGTCATGAGTCGAGTCAAGGGAAAAAAATCAGCTCCTTGTTTGAGTCAGAGTTGAGTCAGGGCTTTCTGAAGTTGAATGATGAGTCGAGTCGGCAAATTTTTTTGAGTCGAGCACAACCCTGCCCTCTACGAATAAAGATGTGCGAGATCGGAAAAATCCCCACTGTGCATTGGATGAGCCTAAAATGTTTGCCTTATAGGTGATCCCGACTACCAATTTTGTAGGTCATTGGTATACCAAAAAGCTGGCATTTCACCCGATTGTTATTTCTACTACGAATCTCATCATAAAGTGACGATTCATTCCGGCCAAGTCACCATTTCAGGTGTGCTTATGTCTGAGTTTTATTTTTGTGTCAAGTGATTTTATACCATTTAAGTCAAAGTTCTACCTACAGTGGTCAAAGGAAGCTACAAGTAAAGCCCCTACTATCGGGTTCCTACAATGTACTTACGTCTTACATACATGCCTCAGCTGGCGGGGGGGGGGGTAGAACCCCACGCCGTTTCGCCCCTAATTGAGTTAGAGCGTGATTGGAAGAAGGAATGGGAATCTGCGAGACGCAACGACTGGTACTCGAATTGTAAGTCTCAGGCCAACCTACAACATCTGAGATCAGGCTAAGTTACTTAAAGAAAGTTTTTTTTGTAAGTGGCTTCTCAGGAAATGTTTGTAGAGCTGTGATTTTGCACCATAGTGTTCTTCATGCTCAGGCGCTTCGAAAAAAATATACCTTTTGTCTAGGTGAGGTCAACTTAGGGCCTTGGATTATGGCAAAGTCACTCAGGCCACGAAGCGAACGAGGCCATGTCGCATATCATTTGATTCGGCAGGTCTTTTTCAGTGGCTTTCCCGACTCGGTAGCTCAATTTGATCATAAGCTATTGGCGAAAAACTCCGATGACCTTAGTGACATGCAACGCTAACAACGCAAAAGGTAGACATTAGACCTTGCAGGGAGCGTATGAAGTCATGATTCCATGTGGTTGATACAGTCTACGAGTACGATCATTTCCGGCGCTTAAATAACTGTTTCCATATTTCCCTCATTTGCTTATACATAAGGGTGAGGTCACGTTACAGAGCTGACTTCATGCGACCCTTAGAAAAAATCGAGATATACAAATAAGTTGTGAAACATTTGGAAGGTTACTGAGGCTCGTAAGCTTAAATTCCCTGTGAAAGATCCCTTGGTAGTTGGTACTGAGGGCGTTGCGAAGCTGCGACATTTTAGGATCGTGCAGAGGTTTACTTATGGCATTATAGTTCACTGAGGCCTGACCTGACCCGAAAATGCGGGTGATGTCACAAGACTATATCCAGTTTAAATCAACGGCCAGGTTTGCCAACTTTCAGCTCTCTATGGCGGGCGCGTTCCGAGCAATCGTGAAGAAACCGTCAGGGTGCGGCACCAGCCCCCCTCTCACCCTTGCCCGGCGAAGGTTGAAGTGCTTTTCTTTCATATTTAGCAATGACATCTGGTAAGATATAATGACTCCGGTGCTGCCAAGTGCGTATTCCAGTCAGCGAAACGATTCCTGGTTCCGTCAATATGCGATGGACTGTAATGTGTAAAAAAACATATTGCATTTAATAGCGGCTTCATGTAGCTTAACTTCCCGACCAGTCGGCTGATGTTCCCGATTGCATGGTGAATATTCGCCGTGCACTTTCATAGCAACCCGAGCGAGTCATTGGCGTTAGATTTGACTCAAATGCTTTTCTGTATAGGGAACCCCTGTGTAATTTATAATGTACTCGTATGTATGTACATAGCGAAGGCGTCACGTTCATCCTCATTTTAATGGTGTATTACATGAAAACATAACGTAAAGAAAGGCAACAAAAGCATCATATAGTTAGTAGCTGCAATTATTGAAAGGATGTCCGACTTAGGAGCAGTATACCAAAACAGATTCACTGCCTTCGACATCCGGTGCTGCTGGCGTCTTCTTTGTCTACTTGCCGAGGGCGGTGGCGAGCTGGCAGGCGGGCCAGTTGATGCCGTTGTTGATGGCCTGCAGCTGCTGGCACAGCTGCGACAGCGACGCCTGCGTCAGGGCGCCCCTCTGGGCGGCCGTGATGCCGGCAGAGCCGGAGGACGCCTGGCAGGCCGGCCACTGGACGCCGTTGTTGATGAGCTGCAGCGCCTGGCACAGCTGGCTCAGCGTCAGGCCTCGGTTGGCCTGACCGTTGTCAGAGCCGGAGCCCCATCCCTGGCCGTTGTCGGAGTCGGAGCCCCATCCCAGTCCGTTACCGGACCAGGAGCCCCAGCCCTGGCCGTTGTCGGAGCCGGAGCCCCATCCCAGTCCGTTACCGGACCAGGAGCCCCATCCCTGGCCGTTGTCAGAGCCGGAGCCCCAGCTCAGGCCCTTGTCAAACCTCGGCTTGGCCGAGGCACAGGCCAGCAGAGCGGCGATCACCAGGATGGTCTTCATGGCTGGACGGTGGTGGCTGATGAGTGGTGATCTCCCAAGCTCAGCCTGTCCTTTATATACCCGACTGTGACCGGTAACAGGTGTTTCTGTGACGCCCTGTGACGACGGCGGGTGTCTCCACTGACGGATCTGTCCGTCCGTCCATTGTTCGGAAATGAGTCGGATGTCGTTCTCGGGCTCTGTGAGTGAGCGCAGGTGCGCCAAGTCTGATCTGTTCTTCAGTCATACCGAATAAAGTTGCGAGGTAATGCAGCTTTTTACTGACTGACTATTGGTATCTCAGATTTAGATAGTGGTTTGTTTAGATAGTGGTTGGGTTTGTTATGCCCTAGTATTCATGAAAGGGTTTCTCGATAGGAACGGCACACCACATTCGTCGCTGAGCCGTGCTGCGCTTTCTGGAATGGGGTGGACGACCGACATTTAAACAACTTCTTTAAGTGCAGACTGAACTGAAAACGTCTTTGTGTCGTGTGGCATCAAATGAACAACCTTTATCGATTTTTCGCTTTCATGCTGAATGCTTGCCATTGCATCATGCATCCCCTTTTACAATAATTAATGATCACTGTTCTTTTATATAGTGTAATGTCATGTATGAACGTGCAGCGTGCGTTTTCGATCCGTTACCCGTCACCCCCATCCGTTTTCAGGCGAAGGTGAGCTCTCAGATGAGCCGTGATGAGGCTGTGCGGCTGATCCAGAGACAGGAGCGGGCCAGACAGGGCCGACACCGGGCCCGCTTCATGCAGGAGATCCACCGACAGGAGATGAAGGAGAAGACCAAGGGAAAGGTCAGTGGTGGGGGCGCGGGTAACGGTGGACGGTGGCTCTTTGTGAGCTCGTCACGACCGGTTTCATCATTTTCCTCACCCAGTCGCTCCGGTCATACGATTTGTCTTACCCCTCCACTCCGGTGGCATGTCTCTGATCACTCCGCTTATTTGATCACCAAGCTTATTTACCGCTTGTGAAACTTGTAACTTGCGCTGTGATGTTTCTCTTTTTCTTTTATTAGGTATGCGTTTTATGTGTGTATGCGAATGCATGTACCTTTTTACCCACTTTTAACCGCAGGTTGTTTGAAAAGACAAACACTATTCGTTAGAATTGTGTTTTTCTATTGAAAAACATACTACTGTTCAGCGATTGTGACACTGGACTGAGAATAGCCACGGCTCCTGTGGATGGTCCAAAGACGTTCAATAAATAAATAAATAAATAAATAAACTCGTCATATATCGCTGATCCGTCTGAGTCTTTCTGATCTCCGTCTCACTGACCTGTCTCACCAACCGGTCTCAGTGTTCCGTTGTGGTTTGTTTTCGTACTTACAACCTATCATATTGTATGCTACTTGTTTGTTTCGTTATTGTCTCACTGGCCTGTCTCGCTAGTCTGTCTCACTGTCTCACTAACCTGTGTCACCAACTTGTCTAACCTGTCTCGCTGACCTGGCTCACCGACCCGTATCGCTGACCTAACTGTCTCGCTGACCTGGCTCACCGACCCGTATCGCTGACCTGGCTCAGTGTATCCCATTGTTTTGTCTTACTGACCCGCCTCTCTGGTCACTCGGCTGCAGTACGTACCGTCTATGTCCGACGACGCAGCCGCTCTCCGCATACAGACCGTGTGGCGGGGGTTCGCCGCCCGACGGAACGTCAAACGCATGAGAGAAGAGGAGATGATATTCATCGGAATGGTACGCATGCGCCCAGGCCATATATTAGCCTGCAGACTGAAGTTTCAAGTTTAGATTCTGTAGACGCAAACATATAAAAATAAAAATATGAGCACTTATTAGCAAAACATTTTTGACTTAACAACATCGAAAAATAATCGTTTCTTTTACATTGTTTTTTTTTTTTTTTGTTCGCAGTCGTAAGTTATAATTTTTTCCAGTCGTTTCCATGCAGCTTGCGATACTCGCGGTGTCCTAACCGTCCCTCCGCGCCACCCCTGCGCAGCTGCCGCCGCGCCGTCCGTCGCCGCCGCCGGAGCGCCGCGTGGCAGAGGTGGAGGCGTCGCGGCGCGAGCTGCAGGCGCGCCACCAGCAACAGTACGAGGAGGCGCTGGTCACCGTTAAAGAGGAGCTGCGACGACTGGAGGCGGTGCAAATGCGCGAGGACATGCAGGATGAGATCCGCGCCTGGATGATGGCTGAGTGGTCAGTGGCGCGCGCCGGACGGACGGACTGTAGCGGGACGGCAAGCGTGATAGGGGCTAGCAGGGCCCTAAAGTGGCAGCCGGCATATTATTATTAGTGATAAACTTTTAAATTCGATGCAAAATAAGCGCGAAAAGGAATCTATTATTGACATTTGGTTTATTGTTTCGTAATTTAATTGGTAATGAAAGCGAACTGTTCGCTTACAAAGTGAACCCAGATGGCGTCCCTGCTGGCGGTTTATTGCATTGCTGTAATGAGTTAACTATTCTAACTATTGAAGTATTGAGTAAATCGGGAGTAAATCATTTTCCAAGGAACGATTTACACTGTTCCATTCGACCCAATTCACCGATCGTTGCCGTTTGCAGGCAGAAGAGCGGCGCCTTTCCGGACCTTCCCAATGAGGAGGAGGGCGGCTCGGCGGCACTCTTCGACCCCGACTTCGTGCCGCCGCCCAAACCCGAGAAGGAGGACAAAAAGGGCAAGGGCAAGAAGGGGAAGAAGGACAAGAAGGATAAGAAGGACGAGAAGAAAAAGAAAAAGAAGAAGGGTGAAGAGGACGAGGGGTTCATAATGCAGCCGTCGAAGTTCGTACCCGTAATCATGGAGGCCTGTATGGAATATGACGGTGAGTCTTCGCTGAGCTGTGTAGTAACATGTGCCGTTCTTTCTCGGACTCTGACGCACTCGTGCAGTTAGAATGGGCACGTCTTTTCTTTCACGTGTTGCGTCTATTGATGTTGGATGGGCAATGGGTATTTCTCGCTATATGGACTTCGACCTGATTGCTGGACGATTTTTGCGTTAAGGCCTGGCTACACTATGCGTTTTCTGCGTGCGTTTTTTGCGGGTTTGCGGGTTTTGCGTAATATCGTTCTAGAATAAAAAACGTTATTACGTTTTTGTGATGTTTTTATTGTAAATTTTAGTTAATATAAGAGTTATATTAACTTTAGTACATAACTAATGCACAACTAAATTGTAAAAGTTGCATTATTTTTAACTTTTTTCTAGAACGATATCACGCAAAAAACGCAAACCCGCAAAAAACGCACGCAGAAAACGCATAGTGTAGCCAGGCCTTTAGTGTGGGATACGAAAGAGTGTGTCGTGTGCAGAACGTCCTTCAAGCTTCAGTCGCTTACATGTTTCCAGCAACATGTCCGGCACCCGATAACCATTTGTTTTATTGAATTATGTTTCCATATCTTCTGAAACGCTCTTCACCCTGTGTTTGCAGAGAAGTGGAAACACAAAGAGGAGAAGAACAACTTTGAGCAGAACTTTGACGCCGATATCGTACGGCGGGACAAGAGACGCGAGCTGGAGCTGGAGGTCCGCAGAGACGTCGACACTGCGATGAGGGAGGAGCTCGACCGGCTCAAAGACGTGAGACGTGCAGGAGGGGGGCGACTCAAAGACGTAGGATTAGCAGGATCGAGGTCGTGAGATGCGCACGGGGAGGGTCTGGCCGACCTCACAGCCATCGAATGGTCGGAGTTCGAGGGTGGACGCGCACTGATCTGGCTTTCTGATTCAACTGGACTGTGAAGTGCATGCAGATTCTTAGAATTCGATGCCTTTTGCGCCATTTTTTCAGAGGTGCTTTACGTATTTTGGCTCGGTCATAGACCTCTACGCCGTATGCTGAGGTCTATGGCTCGGTCATCTAACTGGTCTCAGGGCTTTTTTGTGGGATTGTGTGGGTTGCTAGAACTTTCCGCTATTCGTTATTAAAGCCTTATATTCCTCTAGCTAATACAAGGGATACGGCATCTCGTATGTTATATTGCAACGTTGCGATATATACGATATCTCGTATGCAATATTGCTTTCATGGTGATTATGATAAGCTATAAAGGGATATGTTATTTGCATTCAGAGAAATTCAAGTTGCTAATTTTTGCCGACCACCAGGCGCTGGAGAGGGACAAAGGCAAGAAGGGTCGGAAAAAGAAGAAGGGTAAGAAGAAGCGCAGGGGCGGTAAGAAGGGTAAGAAGAAGAAGGGGAAGGACCTGACGCCCGACCGGAGTCTGGAGTCGCTGGTCGAGGAGCTGGTCGAGAACAACGTCATGAAGCTCATCCCCGAGAAACGCATGTCGGAATTTATCGGTACGACACGCTTTGTTTGTACGGTTTTAACTTCATGCCGTGTTGACAAATGATTATAGGTACAGAAACATTTATGCTGGATCCTATTTCTCATTTTCTTTGGTATGACTCCTTTTAGCGATCGTATTGATCGGCGAGTTGAATGTTGGAATAATTATAAGTAATTTCATACTACATAATAGTTCCTCTTGCCGTGAAAAGTTCACTATCCCAGCGCTGGTGTACGTAACTGACGATGACTCGCCCGGCGCGACAGGCTACCCACAGCTGACCGGCTCCCTGCAGCGACTGAAGAGCCAAGAGGCCCGACCGCTGCTGGGTGACGTGCGCCGCGTGCTGACAGAGTACTGCATCATACCGCTCGGTCAGTTAAAGAGGTTCTGACAGCGTACTAACAGAGTACTGCATCATCCCGCTCGGTTAGTTATAGGGGTTCTGACAGAGTACTGACAGAGTACTGACAGAGTACTGCATCATCCGTGGCTCGTTCAGTTATAGTGGTTTTGACATAGTACTGCATCATCCCGCTCGGTTAGTTATAGGGGTTCTGACAGAGTACTGCATCATCCCGCTCGGTTAGTCATAGTGGTTATGACACAATACTGCATCATCCCGCTCGATTGGTTATACGGGGAGAGTGCTGCGTTGTTTTCTTCGTTTGATCATAGATATGGAATACTGGCAGAATAATGCACCATACCGCTTGGTTAGTTATAGAGAGGGAACTAAGTGCTGACAGAGTACCGCATCATGCTTTGTCACACGAGTATGGTAAGGAAATAACGGCACAAGGCGATGTTTTTCTGTTCAGTAACTTACCGCTGAAAATCGACTGATATGAACTGCGGGCAGTGCAGAGTTGTCGCCTAAATGTATCATAGCACCCTGCTCGACAGTCGATCTCAGACATATGATCTCCCTCCCCGCCCCTCTGCTCTGCCTTCTTCTCAGGCTGCGCGTCCGTGCACGAAACTGCACCTCTGATCAAGTCTGTTCTGATCGCCGGCCCGCCGGGCTGTGGCCGAAAACACCTGGTGCACGCCATCTGCGCCGAGTCAGGCGCCGTTCTGTTCGACCTGAGCGCGTCCAACATCGCCGGGCGCTACCCGGGAAAGGCCGGACTCACCATGCTCATGCACCTGGTCAACAAGGTCAGCGAGGCGGGGCAGGGTGGGAGGCGGAGGTGCTGGGTAGAGCAGGGGTGGGCGATTTGTGATATTTTTTAGAGGCTCGTCATCGGTAAAATGGATACACATCAAACTGATGATTCCATGATACAACCTTGCACTTAGTTCGCAAGGGGCTGTTTTATTTTTTTATTGGTTGATGAATGTTGAACGACGGTTCCTTTTACTGTTGCTATTTTAAAGTTTTTAGGGACGTTTTTCAATCGTTTTACGTCTTTCTTTCTGTCTGTCTGTCTGTCTGTCTGTCTGTATGTTTGTCTGTCTGTCTGTCTGTGTGTCTAATTCTATCTATGTCCATCTATTGCCGGCTGGCGGCGCCCCGTCCGCCCCGTCTGAGGTCGCCCCCGTCGCCGCCTCTGTCTGAGGGGCACCACCGTCGCCCCGGCCGCCCCGGCCTGATGTCGCCCCGGTCGCCGCCTCTCCGCCAGGTCGGCCGCCTCCTGCAGCCCTCCGTCATCTGGATCGACAACGCCGAGAAGACGTTCGTCAAGAAGGTGCCCAAGACGGACAAGACGGAGCCGAAGCGTCTGAAGAAGGAGCTGCCGAAGCTGCTGAAGGCGCTGACGCCGGCGGACCGGCTGCTGTTGGTGGGCACCAGCGAGACGCCCTGGGAGGCAGACCAGAAGGTACGGACCCGGCCGATCGTACTGGTCAGAACACCGCCTGTACCCCGGACGCTCATATACTAGGGCCTGGAGGAAGGGGGCGGGGCAGGGTGAGCGTTCTGCAAACTGACAGACAGTGGTCAAGGATAGTTATTACTGTTATTTCTACATGTAAGATCCATCAGTCTGTTCTGCTGTTTTGTTATTTTATTCTCGCTAATTCACTCCGGCCTCAGTGAAATATTGCATTTTGAAAAAAGGCGATTCAGGAACGCAAGTTGTTTAATTTGATTGCATTAACTTTTTACCCTGGGTGTCAGTTATTTGTTGAATATTTCCTTCTCACTGCAACCTAGCAGAATTTATGTTACATCGTTCTGTTTATTGTTCTCTTATACTTTTTGCCACACAATCCTTCCCGTCTAAATCCTCAATGACTCTGCCCTTCCCCTCGCTGACCCGTCCCCTCCACCCACCCTCAGGCGCTGGGTCAGACGTACAACCGTGTGATCCTGATGCCGCCGCTCGACTACGCCAGCCGACTACAGCTGCTCAGCCGCGCCGTGGCCGTACCGGGCGTACCGCGCCACCCGGCGCTGGACCTGAGCACGCTCACTAAACTGACGGACGGGTTCACCGCCGGACACTGCCTGGATATGGTGCATGAGGTCAGTCAGAGGGGGAGACACTGTGCGGCTGAACACTGCCTGGATATGGTGCATGAGGTCAGTCAGAGGGGGAGACACTGTACGGCCGGACATCGTCTGGATATGGTGCATGAGGTCAGTCAGCGGGGAGACACTGTACGGCCGGACACTGCCTGGACATGGTGCATGAGGTCAGTCAGCGGGGAGACACTGTACAAACGGCCGGACACTGCCTGGATATGGTGCATGAGGTCAGTGGGCGGCCATAGGGGAGCACGGGACAGCACTATCAAACGGCCGGACACTCTCGACATGGTGTATGAGGTTAGTGGGGAGCTCGGGGACAGCACTGTACTGCCGGACATTGCCTGGATATGCTGCACGAAGTCACTGGGGCGGATACCGGGGGAAGGCACGAGGGCAGCATTTTACGGCTGGACACTGCATCGACATGTTGCACTAGGGTGAGTGGGCTGGTCACAGGGGCGTGAGAGAAGGGCGACATTGTACTGCCGGAAACTGACTCGACCTGGTGTTCGAGAATATCAGTGGGGCAATTAATCTTCACTGGGACGGTCACAGGAACGCACGGGTACGACAACAGTACGCCACGGTAAGGGTGTACACGACACAGGAAGGCTACAACTCGAGGAGGATACGGCCCATGGTTTCTGCTAAAGGGTATTCTCAGCCAAAACACATAGCAGGGATACATGTGGTAAGAGTGCAGTACCGTTTGGCGAATAGTGTGCGCTTCAATCCTTGAAAAGTCAATGAAATTATCCGCAGCTTTTGCTGTATGTCCTGAAATATACCGTTCATAGGCTCTGGGAAGCGATCCGTTAGATATTCGCAAAAAGATCGAGGTAATTGCAATATTAGATGCACGTTTAATGGAATCCATTAGCAGAAGCGTTTGCCGGGCTCCGGGAGCTCATTATAGCGGCCTGTTTACACACCGATCTACTCGCTGCATTATTGCTGCGGTGCTGAGCCGGCCTGGCTGCTCTAAGCCCATTCAATTAGGGTTTTAATTGCGTGGCCCGGTCGGCTGACAGAACTCGGATGGGCGTAATGTGCAGTACGGCAGCTCGGTGTAGATGTGTGGGTGGTGCCGGCCGTAGGATCTGATCGGCACGGTATGCGCAAAACTGAACGCTGTCCGCCCCGGTGCGGCGCGGGGGCGGACGGCACGAGAGTGACAGGCCCGGATAGCCCTCCTATAGAGCCGTCACAAACGCTGACAGCGCGTGATGGAGCTGTCACAAATGGACTGCCATCTGACAGGTGCTCGAGACAAGCTGTCATGTGACAGAGGTGTGACGGATGAGAACGACCTGTCATCTGACAGAACTGTCACATGCGGAAATGAGCTGCCATCTGGTGGGTATGCGTCTGATTCCTGTCATCGTGAAGGCATTCATTCATGTGACAGTTCAGTGAAACACTAAACCAAAAATGAATTAACTAACCAACCCATGACTAATAAAACGGCGCTGTACCGAGCCGGTCCGAGCCGGCGCAGGTGGGGCGTCCCCGGGGTGCGACACGCGGTCCCAAATGTCAGTGCGCTGCCGCGTTGAACTCCAAATGTCAGCCGGCACAGCGGCGCGCGCGAACGACCCGTGCTCGCCGCCCGCAGCGCCGGCCGCGTGATAAATTAGTCGTCAGGTGACGAGCATCGATTGTCGAGTGAGGTCGGATCCCCGGAGCGCTGTCCTCCTTTCGACTGAGTTCCTCGAGGTGCTGTAGGGTTCATCGAGACGCTATAAAGCTCCTCAGGAAACTGTTCCTAGCTCCTGTGGCGCTGTAAGGCTCCTCGACACACTGTTCCGGCTCCTCGGTTCGTTGCTTCCTAGCTCATCGGGCGTCGTCACTCGTCCTGTATCCCAGCTTTTCATGGGCCGGGGCGCTGCTCATCCCGTTTCTCAGAACAGCGGCCGATACTTTCCCAGGCCCAGTCTGGCTGAGCAATGAGCACGGTCCCATTGATCGAGGTAGGTGGACCGGCAGTGAAACTCACGAAGGGTAACAGCAACGGTCGAAAATGCCCTCAGCTACTGAGATAAAATCGTTAAACGAGTAATGCTATTTTCTGGAGCCGTAACGGGCTGTCTTGTGCTGCTTAACTATGCATGTCCAATAGCGCATGTGTCGTCAATCAGCATTCAAGAGGACGGGGAGAATTAGCGATTCCGCCTCCGCGTGTGACTAATTCAGACGGGCGAGTGACGCATGGAGAACGGACGGGAATAGTGAGCAGCTTGTGCGGCATGGGCCGATTTCTGTACTCGGTTGTGTCCGGGCCAGTAGAGAGGGCGTATTTGGAAGATGGGTGTTGAACTGAATGAGAGACGGGGGCAACAAGTGTGTGTGTAAGAAAGACAGTTGTAATTTGGAACACACAAAACAGTTCTAAATTAGAGAAAAAAACCCTAGGCATGTGTCACACAGCTCGCGTGTTTGCATCGCCGTGAAATATCAGAAAGAAAGCCAACAAATTAGAATCTAGAGCCGCCGCTGTTCGAGACTTAACTACCCTCCATATTCAGGCGGCATACGTCTGATATGGTTATTAGAAGAGTCAGCACGTTACATGGGCACCTACATCAAGTCGTTTTCACGACATACCTAAGCCAAAATTAATTAGGGGTGGGCGGGTCACGACCCCCTTTTCCCTGCCAGTTAGGTTTAAGTGTGTGAAGAGCGGCCCACTTCGAATTAAGGACCAACTCTTAGGGAACTACCGATTGCCTGACAATACAGTTAACTCTAAACTGACTCCTTCTTAGGGCTAACTAACCATGTCAGCTTGTCGGCCTAACTTTTAACTAGTTCACCTGTTAAAACTAGTTAAAACTAGTTCATCTAACGATCTTTAACCAGGCTCTTGCCCTGAAGAGCATTTATTCAAAACATTTACTCCGATCACATACCTAATGAGAGGAAGCCGTGGGATATTGACCTGCCCGGGCCACAGCAGATGTGGCTGGCTGGCGGCGATGGAACTTAAGGGCCCTGAAGTGCTCCGCACTCGGTAGTGTATGTACGTTTCATATCTGTATATATTTAATACAGTCTACAGGTTTGAATTTAACCACAGCCTGCAGTGCCCGTTTGGGGCTCGTGTTCTACGGCTCGGTCACATAGCTAGTCCCCAAACACATAAAAACCTATCCGCATCCCACCCAAGCAAGCTCTAGGAAGGCTGACAATACAGCTAGCTGCACTAGCACTATAGCTCACTAGCTCTACTGTGAAAAAATGTATTTAACAAGTACATGTATATTGTATGTACAACAATATGTGTGTGTCGTTTCAAACAGCGTCCCATGTATCTCCCTCGGTCCACCCACGGCAGAGAATGCCTGCTCAGCCAATCATCCTGCCCGCCCTAAGACATCTAAAAGATGAACACAATGAATAATTGCTGAGTATCCCAGCACCTATAATTTCGGCATTTCATTCATTCATTCATTCGTTTATTGACCTTGGGTATCGGGGGGGGGGGGGGGGAGAGACACAAACGCAAACATGGCACATTAAAACGATGCAAGCAAGACAGGAAAAAAAATACATTAAAAACAACCCTCAGTCCATCAATGAACTCTAGCGATTCGGCGCGGCGCAGGCTAACCGCCCGTGGGACCTCGCGAGTCGGAACCATCTCGACTCCGGGCCTAGATATTTGTAAGCAACATATAACGCGCAATCGGTAATCGATGAGTACAGACGAAACGTTCGGCAAACGGCGGACACTACATGAAGGCTCTAAGGACGTCGTAACAGAGTTTCGGGGCATTAACATTCGTGTACATTGATAGAACGTCGGGGAGGGAATCGGCCTCGTTAAAGCTTGAGACGTTGCGTGTCAGCCTACATTGTCGTATGACATGATCCTCATCCTGTACGAACGGACCACACGAGCATAGGCGTAGGTCTCTCGGCGTGTGAGACCATCTCCCCGTCTCGACCCGGAGGCGGTGTGAGCCCAGCCTGAGGCGAGAGAAAGCCAGCCGGTGTGGTTCGAATGTGTGCGAGTGTGAAGACGTTTTTGTTTGGTAGATAATTTGCGCATCTAGTGAGGGATTTATCGATTTGTACGCGACTGCTCTGGAGTTTGTCGCACCCCTGATGCGCGCCTTCACCTCGGATAGAGCGGCCACGGGTGAGCTCAGGTGCGGGGAGCCCAGAAGCTTCTCAATATACTGGCCCATGGGGCAGGCATGCACGCGCGCGAGCTCGATGGCCTTCTGCACAGGGCTACCCTCAAAGTGTGTGCTGGCTTGGAGCTTCATCAGAAAGTTTCGCTGCATCTGGCCTACCCTAGCAGAGAGAGGTGGGATGCCGGTCTCGACATAAATCAGATCGCATGCATAGGCATAGCGCATGCATATGATTGACGACATGAAGTAGGCCAGAAATGCGCTGGGTTAATTAATGCCAACAATATGTCGAAATTCACCGCCCTTTAGTATAGCTCGAAGGGTATTTAATCGTGGCTCACAGTCATCATTTTAAATTGGGCTCATTCGGGGCTTCATCGTCCGAAATAATTTGCACCATTGCCATAACAGAATTGGGTGATTTCTGGAACTAGCTCTCTTTTTCTAATGTGAGCAGTCTTCCAAAACAAACGTTCATCGGTTATGGCCTCATCTGGGGGCCGGCCGGGACGGACAAATCGTCCGTTCCTTTTAGTAATGACCGCAATGTGGCCGCCCCGGTGGAGGGGCCCGCCGTTGGCGGTCCAGACCTCTCTGTTGCGGTCAACGGGGCGTTTCCGCTCCGGCCGTTACTCGCCTTGGCTTCACCAGTCTGTGGGCACGGGCACCGCGGAACGGAGCACGGCACGGTCTGACGGTCACGGACCACCCGTGACTCGGTGGAACAGGGACCGCGCCCCTGCTGGTCAGCGGGGTCAGCGACGGCCACTGCAGGGTGACCTCTGCCAGCGAGCGGTTCAGGAGCAGCACACCGGTCACTGATGCCTCCTGGTTAATCGATCGTTGGCTTGACCTCACGAGCTGTGGTTCAGAACGCTCACGATACTTCTGTGATCCGTGACCACCGATGCTTCCGGCGTATTTCTTCTTGTTTTCGCCCACCCGACATGTCTGAATTCTGTGTTTGAGCTAGAACCTTGCTCATGAGTTCTTCCGCTTTTCTGAGTTTTCCATTTCTCTTCTTTTCACCTAGCTATTTCCTTTTCCATTAGGTCCTATTTCATACAAAAATTGTGAGTACATTTCCTTTTCAAACAATATCTCTTACTCGCACGACTGTCTCCCGTTCCTATGCTTCCACCTCCACTTTTCCTCGAACTCCCGGTATTTCCTCACGCCGCTCATCTGTCCCCCTCTACCGTACCCGGTGACTGTCTCTGGAGACCGCCGCCGATGTCAGGTTATCATCACTGCCCTGCCGAGAGGTGTTGCCGTGCCCCCCCCCCCGCCCCCGTCCTGAGCGGTCGCTGCGGACGGGCGGGGGCGGGGACGGGTCCTTAACACTGCCGAAAGGTGTGCCGCCCCCGTCTTCTCCCTGAGCGGTTGCGTCGGACGAGCGGAGGCGGGGGCGGGTCATCACTAGTCTACTACACTGCCGAGAGGTGTGCCGCCTCCGCCCCCGCCCGGAGCGGGCGGGTCGGGTCATCACTGGCTGCCGAGAGATGTGCCGCCCCAGCCCTGAACTTTTCTCAGGACGGGCGGGGGCGGTTCATCGCTACTACCGCTGCCGAGCGGTGTGCCGCCCCCGCCCCCAGAACGGACGGGGGGGGGGGGGGCGGCACGTGTCTGTCGACAGAGGCCAATACTGTCCGATGGGAGTGCGGGGTAACGAGACAGGTGGCAGCCGAACAGAGCCATACAGTATGGATGGGACTGGGGTGGGCTGGGACGGCCTCTCGGCGCAGCCTGGTCGTGACAGGCCGCGGTTGTGCGGGAGAAAAGGAGACGTGGACTGGTCTAGGTGATGTGTGTATGTGTGTGTGGGTGCATGGGTGATGTAGTGTGTGCGTGTGCTGAAAACAGACACGACCTGTCTCACAACGGTCTACCGAGACCAGGCCGTGCTGTGGCTTACAAATGAACCGTCACTCAGCTCTCACCACATGCAAATCACACACGCGATATTCGGTCTCCGTCCCTATTGTTCTCTGAATGAGCGTCGCAGTTTGCGCAGCCCGGCAATAAATGTCGGGCTGTGTATTCTGAGACCCGCCGCTCCCGATTCAAAGAAGTCAGTTCACTTTGACTGAGTACCGATTGCGTCAGTTCTACTCGAAGCCCTATGGCACACCACGCTCGGAATAACGGCCCGTGTCAGGGCAAACTTTGCCGTTTGGTGAGCAGGATTTCGATTCTGTTCTGCCTACTACCGTTTGATTGGAAAAGAATAAGGACTGAGATCGAGGCACTTAATAATCTGATGAAACACGGGATATTTCAAAGTTCCTCGCATAATAAGCATGGAGGTCGTAGCAGTTATCAGCACCGTGATAATGTTATGTCTTGTGCTTCTTCCGTTCTATTTGATTATCTTAACTCTCTTCTTTAAGTTTTTCTGTATGTTCGCTGTTTTTTAATAGTTTTCCTCTTCATACTTTTGACTTTTCTACTTTTCTATTTATTGGTTTGTCTGACATCTCTCTCCTCCCCTTACTCTTCCTATCTCCCAGCCTACATCACTTCCTCTCCCTCGTTCTCCCCTCCCTCCCTCCCTCTTCCTATCTCGTATCTGCTGCGCCGGCGGATTATGTTACGTGCTCGGTTTCCTGGAGCTCACCACTCCCTCCTCCACGAGGGTCTCATCCCCTCCCCACCGCAGATCTGATTGACGCCCCTCTGGTGATGTTGGTGATGGTGATGTTGGTGATGTTGCCTCTGCAGGTGGTCACAGAGAAGCGGATCGTGAAGCTGCGGAAGCGGCCGCTGAAGACGACAGAGTTCGTCCCAGTGCTGGCCAATCTGCAGCCGGTGATGAGGTAAGACGAACGGCGCATACGCCGGGATGAAGCGGCGGGGCGGTGTGCTGAGTTGACCGTTGTCCGTCCGTCTCCGGAGCTGGGTATAGACTATAGACTGGGCGGACCCATGCAGTCCATGGCTGAATGGACTGTCCCCATGACGCCCTCATGTGGTGCCGTGTCTCTGTTTTGCTTCATGTTTCGTAAGACATTATAAAGTTATTCTCTCGTGATCTTTTCTCCTTATTTTTCTCCCGCTCCTTCCCTCCCTCCCTCCTTGTCGCTTCGTTGGCAGGTATTTTCCAATTTACCACTCAGTTCTTTTTTACCGGTACCACAAGATGTTGTTAGTCTACTGCAAGCATCTTGTTACCTCGTTAAATTTCCGGAGAAAGCGGAAAGTCAATCGACTTGGTTTCCTGAAGTTTGTGTCGGGTAATAAGGTGTAAAAGTTTTCCTATTAATCTTGTCCCCGCTCCAGGGCGGGCGCAACAATACGGTGAGCCTATACTCACTCTCGGGTACTGGAGCGATGGAGTCCGTACTGAAATATCTGTCGTAGGCATCGGGTGAAATCCGGCATTTCATGAAATGCCTAGGCATTTCATGGAATGCCGGCAAAAACTGAAATCTTCGTAGAAATACGGGCGTTACAGCGAATGCCTGAAAATTTTAGGCATTTCATGAAATGCCAGGCGGAGGCCAGGCACTCCCTGAAATATGGTCAAAATTAACTGAGTACACTCGTTGCCTAGGCATTACATGGATTGCCCAAAAGACGAACGGCACTCTCTGTAACAAAACTTTTCGTACGCGGACGGTTGTGTGCATATACACGCCGGCGGGCGGGAGGGGGAGGGACGTTATCGTATTGGTGTGAAATGGGCTAACACTACGAGATATTTCACGGATCGTCTCGTCTGCTATCGGGCCGACATCGGGCCGACGTCGGTATCTCGGCATTCATCTCGGCTGGATGTTGGTACACCGCCAGCTGCCGACATCATCTCTATTCTTCCTTCGTCAATTTTGTATGCTTTTTCTCGAGGCTAGCGTGTGTTTTTTTACTTATGTTAGGTACTGCTGGCAAAAAAAAGATGAATTAATACAGTAGATGACACCAAAACGTTGACCTGAAACATCTAACTTTTTCAAATGGAGAAACTTAAGATCCGGCCGACATCCGGCCGATATCGGCCCGACGCCCAGCCGACGTCGGCCCGGTCCCCAACCGACGTCAGGCCTACCCAAGCCGACGTCGGCCCGACGACCAGCCGACGGCGGCCCGACCCCCAGCCGACAAGAGCCCGACCCATCCAGCCGACGTCAGCCCGACCTCCAGCCAGCATCGGCCCGTCACCCAGCCGACGTCGGGCCGACGATCAGCCGACGTGCACCCGTCGTCTTGCCGACGTCGGCCCGACGCCTAGCCGACGCCCAGCCGACGCCGGCCCTACCCCCAACCGACGTCAGGCCATGCCGAGCTGACGTCGGCCTAACGACCAGCCGACGACCACCCGACCCCCAGCCGACGTCGGCCCGACCCCTAGCCAACGTCGGCCCGATACCCAGCCGACGTCGGGACGATGATCGGCCGACGTGCGCCCGTCGCCTCGCTTATGTCGGCCCGACGCCTAGCCGACGTCGACCCGACGCCCAGCCGACGACGGCCCTATCCCCAACTGACGTCGGCCCGACCTCGAGCCAGCATCGGCCCGACATCCAGCCGACGTCGGGCCGACGATCAGCCGACGTGCACCCGTCGTCTCTATGGATACGAAAAAAGCGCGGGAAACCACATAGCTGCGGTAATCGTTTCAGAAAGTGCCGGCCCGTCAGTCGGGCATTTCATGTAATGCCTAGGCAACGAGTGTACTCAATTGGTTTTGACCATATTTCAGGGAGTGCCTGGCCTCCGCCTGGCACTTCATGAAAAGCCTAAAATTTTCAGGCATTCGCTGTAACGCCCGTATTTCTACGAAGATTTCAGTTTTTGCCGGCATTCCATGTATTGCCTAGACATTTCATGAAATGCCGGATTTCACCCGATGCCTACGACATATCCACTTCTGAGATATTAATTGCTAGGGATTCTTACGCCTTCGGTGGGAGGGAACCGCCTCTCCCTGAGAGTTGGGCACTGACCTGGCGGTCGGTCGGACGGGGCGGGAGAACCGCCTCCCCTCTCTCAGGGCTCGGTCCCGCGTCTGACCCCTGACCGGGCGGACGGGTCGGAGGGAGGTCGTAAACTGACCAGCCACGGTCGGCGGTGCTCCCCGGGCGCTCGTAAGGGCCGGCGCCGGCACCATCACTGGCCCGCCGCGGTGGACGGCGAACGTGATAACGACACTGCGGCCACCGCCGGCACAGCGGCCAGCGCACGGCACCGATACGGCTCGCCCCGCCGAACCCATCGAACTTACCGTCTGCCGGTCAGCCGACGCTGCGCTGAGGCCTCGACGCTGGTCACTGATTCCCCACGAACTCATTGAACCCGCCTCTGCCGGTCCGCCAGCACAACGCTCAGGCCCCGACACTGCTTGGCAAGGTGTCTACTGTCTACCCCGCTGAACCCATCGAACTCACGGTCACCCCTGCCGGTTCCCTAACACTGCGCTTAGGCCCCGACACTGGGCAGTCCGTCCCCGCCAAACCCTGCCAAATGCGGTCCATCGAACTCACCCCCTGCCGGTTACCGACGGTACAAGCCTATCTTGTCAGGTCCTACCGGCCGCCAATGATGGATGGTTCATTGTTGGTCCGATGGGAGCGTCGACGCATTATACACCCGCCAGCCAAGTCACCGGTGCCACGACCTTGGGCTGTTACATAAGTGCTGGTCCATGGACTTTGGAGTGGCCGCCTGAACTGGGGCGAGTTAATCTCGGATGTGTTTTGTACTACGTATGTAGCCCATCTCTGATTGAGTGCGTCAACTCCATTCGCAGGGAGCAGCAGGAGATGTACTACACCTGGCTCACCAAGACGCCGCTCGGGAAGAAGAGGGCAAAGATGCTGGAGGCTGAAGCAGAGGAGGCCAATAAGGCTAGCGCCGGCAAAAAGAAAAAGTAGAGGAGGCCCGAGCAACGGGGACTCAATACAGACACGATGGGATCTCGACAGTAGATAGAACCAGTGTTTGAACTTTGAATACGATGTTAACGGGACCAAAGCACACAGATCTCATAGTGTCAAGCAACTAGTCTAGTCCTATTTATATTTGTTTGTTCATTTTTCTACAAATTATGACCGATGTCCCTGCCTGTGTTATGTGCCGTCCTCACGGTGATTTGTTTTATGACTCGTCAATTGCCGGCACCAATCATCACACGTGAAATTTACTTATTCGTTCCGCCCCCTGTCCGAGTATGGTGATGTTCGGGTATATTTACCAGTTCGCTGATACCATTGATCAGGGGATCTGGACTCCATTAATTAGCACTGATGGCATGTTCGACTAATAAAAGTATCGACCAAACGAACTGAACACCCCTCTGTGTTTGCACTCCGATCAAATTAGTGTCACGCTAGTGTGAGTCTGACTGTCCTAGTCATCGATGGGCTCGGACTGGATTACTGCAATGTTGGGACGGCAGAAACTGGCAAAGTCAGGTCCAGACGGATGTCCAATAGGTTCGGACCGACGGACTGGATTACCGTACTGCTGCGAAGGCACACACACTAGCAGGGTAGGGGGCAGCTCTGGGAAAATGACGTCTCCGATGGGCTCATACTGGATTACTCGGCTGCTGGGGCGGCACACTGACAGGGGCAGCTCCAGGTACAGAACGGGTCTCCGATCGACTTCACTAATCCCAGCTCGTCACTAATTAGTTCTTCAGAGTTCATACTGACGTACTGACTACCAGAATCCTCACGATGCTAAAAAAAAATCGGCTTACAAACGAGCATGTATTACACCATTCATAAACATTCCTATCCAGTTGCATGTCTCGTCATAGTTCGGTTATGAAACAGCTAAATCACTCGCTACTCAGCGCATCACTCTTCAGTTCCACTCGGTTCAAACCTTTCATAGACACAACTATCGCTAGCAACCCGTCCCACAGTCTGCTCTTTTCGCGTACCGTCAGGTTCGCACCATTCTCAGTCAACTGATACCATGACTACGCGTCATCCGCTGACAACGTCTTTACTGACTGGCATCGGCGACTGTCCCAGCATGCCTCCCTGACTACTTTTTACGCCTGTACAGAGCCAAAGAGCGCCTCGCGGCCCAGCGTTTGCTGAACTTCTGATACTGTCTGGCGTCGAAGGGATGTCTGTCGGTCTCAGCGTTTCCAGAACTTCTGATACTAACGGGTTGAAGAAGCGTCCGTCCATCCATCTCAGCGTTTCCAGAACTTCTGATACTTTTTGACGTCGAACGAGTCCTCGACCTCCTGTTCAATGACCACCTTCTGCTTGGGCTTCCGTCTCTGGAGTCGCACCAGTCGCTCCTCCTCAGAGAGCGTGCTGAGGTCGAGCGGCAGCTGGGGAGCGGGGAGCAAGGTCAGACAAGCCGACCGGCACCGGCAGCGGGGGTCTGCACTAAATTAATGTCATAATTGATAAAATTACCTGCCAGTAGGTAAACATACCTATTGCATAAACTCTGGTAAAACGCCACTGTGAAATATACCCATCTTTCTTTAGACTCCGCCTGTCACACACTTTCTTCGCCCCATCCTCCCACTCACCTTTGATTTTGCGCTGCTCGTGGTAGCGCACGGTGATGGCGATGGCTCCTTACCTTTATGATTTTCCTGGGTTCGTGGTAGCACAGTGGTAGCAGTGGTAGTTCCTTACCTTGATGATTTTCCGCGGCTCGTGGTAGCGCGCGGTGATGGTGGCCCCGTCGGACAGTACCACCGTCGTTGGGTAGAGCTGAGGGTGGCGCAGCCGGTGTACGCGACACACCACGGCACGGTTACAGTTGAGCAGACGCTGGCCGGTGACCAGCACTGACGCCGAGCGCAGCAGGGGCGCGCCCGCTGCGGACAGCATCTGAAACGGCCGGCCGGTGACTGAGCGGGACAAGTAGGGACGACCTGTCGCCGCGGCCGGTCACGTCTCAAGTATCAAAGGTACGCACAAATAATTGGAGTATCCATTGCGAGACGTTGAAAGGCAGTTGCAATAAATTCGAGTAGCTGCGAACGCGTCCAAGATTACCCGGACTCGGCCGCCGCGCTTGCGGGCGCCGCCGTGGCTTAGGAGCTGTGCGGCACAGCATAGCATCCAGGCGCCGACTGCTAACGCCATCTAGTGACAAGATCGTTAACTCCAAGCAGCCGTTCGGTAAAGACGCCTCGCAACTACGCGGCCTATATTCGCGACATTGCAACTGGAGCCCATCCAGTTTTGTTTTCGTTTTAATTATGGTGCTCAATATCAAAATCACCGTCAGACTTGTCGTGAGACACATCGAGCTAAAATTGGCAATATTTGCTAACGCGAATGGCTGTGGCGGCCTCTGCCGAGGCCGAAGGGGGAAGGGCAAACGCCGACATTGACGAATGTTAGTCCAGTTCCTACAGCGCACTCCCATTGCCGTTATGGTGAATTGGAGTCTCAAAGTAGGGTATGCTCTTACTAAAGCCCGTCCGCGATGCCTACTACGTAGGATATTCAATGGTAAGATATTCAATGCAATTATTCAGTGCCAATTTCATGTTAATCGCTCGTACCCATTTCAGGTCAGGTCCATTGCCGTTTTTCATTTGAGGTCAATTCGACAATAATTCAAAGAAGACGCATCTGAATTTAAAAATGGAAACGAATATCCGTTCGGTTTACGATGACAAATGCCTTGGTAAATACGCAGGTGCAATTTACTGGATACCAGCGGTATCATGAAAGTCGGATAAATAACGCTGTCAAATCTCGAGGGAGCCGAACTGTTCAGCATTCGCGGAGTCAAACTGGACCTACCCCAATAAAGATCCCAGTCGCCAGTGTGCCTTCATCAAACGAGCTTGCCAGCCTGTAACTTCTCGTGCCGTCTCATAAAATGTAAATGAAGGTGAAATAGCTACTCGCCTGGTGGTGGCAGGGCAGTTATTTTTACTCAGGTGTGACAGTTGACAAGGACGAAGGGAACACGGTGTGTTCCATACTATGAGTCAAGATAAGGGCTGTTGCGTCGAATCGTTTGAACGTGATAAATATCATCACTTTCGCACCAACTCGAGTGGGGTGGGGTGCACCGGTCCGAGTGTGACGGATGGGTTGTTCTGACTGCTGGCTGAACATTTGTCTTGCTACCGCCTACCGGCAGTTATAAGCAAACCAAAGGCGAATCAGGCGTGCTTTTTCGAAAAATTTGATATGTAGAGGTCGCGTTGTATAACCTTTGGAGGTCGCGTGTATAATGATTTGGATGAGACATTGATTGTTAAGTTCTTTATTTTGTACATACGCTTAATTCATTGGCGATGGAATGTACTCGAACTAACTGGACCGGCGGTAAAGATTAGATAAATCGGTACCAACCAAAATGAACTATTTGATCTAGTCCAAGCCCGCTCCTCTTTTACTCTTCCTACTAACATGTTAGGAGCGCACCGCAACAGCCGCTCTCCTTTGAAGTCGAGCCAGGCACTCGAAACAATAAATACATAACGGCTGTATTCCCCAGCTCACACGCCGAATGCATAACGGCTGTATTCCCAGCTCACACCGCAAAATTGGACCAGTCCGCAGGTCGGCGGGCCGCCGCAGCCCGTATGAATAATGGAAACAGCAGCATGGCGGCCGACCGGCGAGCCAGATCAGGCCGGTTCGGGCGGTATTCGATTCTCATCCCGCGGGCCACGGCACAATAGTCGGCAGACTTCCCGGATGACGGATCGGTGCTGGGTCGTCCGACCCACCGGCGCGGCGGTGGACACAGGGGTGAAGGTCGCAACCCGTGTCTCCCTGTCTGTCGCTCACGCTGGTTAGACTCGCGCCGGGCCGGGCCGTGTGTTAGCTGCAGTGTTGATGAACAGGTGCGGCGCCGGGCGGGCCGAGTCACGCACACAAGGCCGGGTACCGGCGGGCGGTGCACGGTTACCAGCCGGTCAATACAGGACGGCTCCTCGGCTCCTGTCCCACCCCGGCCGCCTGTGGGCTACCGGCCCGGCCCCCGTCCCCAGAGACCGCAGGGCGACTCCAGCGCGCGCTACCCAGTCGCAGCCGCCCCCAACTTGGGGAGAAAGTTGTCCCATCCAAAGGTCGTGCTTTCTGTGGTCTGCTGCCGCCAGGTAGCCGGGCTCGAGGCTGGAAAGCCAGCACCAACTTCCAACTATCGACGGCGTAGTGAAGCAATAAGGGTGGAATAAGGCCGGAAACTCGTTCGGAATACTCGAATCGAACTCACCAGCATTGATGATAAAACAGCGCGAGGAATAAACTAGAGGGAGACTAGGCCAGTATTAAAGCGAAACAAGCAACAAGCTGCACCATAACATCATAACATAGAGGCGCATTGTGAAATAACGAGGCCCTGGGCGGATTCCAAGGCTATTCGTGACCTTTCAGCAAAACGTGCACATGAAATTGTGGATACCTACATGAGATGACAATGCACAGCACGGACACAAACAACTGCCGAGTATCTCGAGTCTGACTCACAGGCATTCACTGTTTAGGACCAGCTGTCGTCTCAGTCTGCGGGCAGTTAATCACTGGTGCTGCCGCGTCCACTGACCAGTCTTTCACTGTCATGGCCCAAAGACGGCGTGCCAGCCTGTTGTTCACACATATCTCAGTGATATTGCCTCAGTTTACGCGTTGTGACACCGCGTATAATCGCACATCCTTTCCGTCCTTCAGAGGACGTGCGTCACCCAGAGGAACACAAGCACGGCTCCGGTCAGCATGAAGAACGGCACCCACGTCTTCAGGAAGCCGCAGAAGCCCGTAAAGCGGCCCTTGACCAGCATCAGCGCCGCCAGCTTCACCATATTCCACGAGATGCTGCCGTCGTAGGCCATCAGGTTGAGCGCGCGCGCCGTGTGTGAGTGGCAGTTGTCACAGAACAGGTTGTGCATTCGGTGTGAGTAGACCTCGGAGGCCTCGGCGACGGCGCGGTCCCAGCCGGACACCCCGCCGGCGGCGCGCTGCGGGTCCAGCCGCCAGTAGCGCGTCGGCTTCCCGAACGCCATGTCGTCCTCGCCGACAAAGTAGGGGCCGGCGAAGTCGCGGATGACGCCAGACGACATGGCGATGCCCATGTGGCCGATGAAGGGGAAGAGCCAGGTGAGTACCGGGATGGGCGTCCAGACCACGCAGAATGGGTACCGCTGCCGGTCTCGGTCAATGTCCGACTTGGCGTCCGACTCCATACAGTTCATGGCGGCGGCGGCGGCGGCGGCGGCGGCGTACCACGGTCCTGCCGGCGAAACGGGGCGACGTTAGGCCGGGCCGGCCGAGCTGAGGGGAGGACAGGACGCCACACCGCCGCCGCCGCCCTGGTCCGGGCTCTACAAAACGCCCGTGAGGAAGAAAATGAGCCCAATATATGTAGTTAACGATATTCCATGTCCGACTGGTGAACAATTATTGTCTGTCGCCCCTAGTATTCACAGTACTGGTGTCGCGAAGTCACTGCACAACAAATATCCCTGCGCCATATAATCCAGGTGGTCAACCGCAGAAATCCCGTCAGGAGTAGTCTGAAACAGGGAGCAGGTGCCGCTTCCCTGCCATCCGAACCGTCACAACGATTCTCTGACGGCGTGTGGCAGGGGCCGGCCGCCCGGCGCCCCTGTGACTGGCACCGCCGTCCGCCCGGCGGCCACTGGACGCGTGTCAGCGCGACCCCCACGCGACGGTCACCGCCCGGAAGCAGGTCAGCCCAATCAGCGGGCGACACGCGCTCATCGACCGGGCTCAGACATGATTGACCGGCAAATGGGGCGTAAAGGCCCTCACCCGGCCGGCCCGGCACATGTCGCCCCTGATGGGCACGGCTATCGAGCCACCGAGCTTCCGATACCGGCGACCGGCAGCCGTCCGCGCCGGCAAATTGGGCCGAAATCGAAACACCGAAAACGCGAGATGAGTCCCATTTTTCGGAATGGAGCATGCATCTTCGAATCTCCTCTGAAATGGTTACCATTTGACAGTATGTTTTATGTCTGCCTCCGGTGCAATGCTATCCATTTTCATCTGAGAGCCTGAATATCTCCAGGGTAAAAGCCCGACACTCCTAAAACATGTTTAATAAATCCATTTTCCACTCGCCATTTCCTCGCGTCCCAGCGGAGCTGGGGCTCGGCAAACAGCGTAGTAAGGTGCTGATCCGAGCAAATGCCATTCGAGACAGCCGAACACTCGGACGGAGCCAGCGGCATCAGTTCGGCGGCAACCATCGATAGCTCCGGTGCAAAATCGACTGGGCAGAGCGGAGCCGCGGCGACAGAGTCTCCCCAGAGGCGGTACCGAACCCGCTCGAGCCGGCTGACCAGCCGCCGCGGCGGTCCATCCCTCCGCGCGGCGGCCGCTCCGTCCGGCCGCTGGCAGGTAGTCCGTCTCCCAGCGCGGCCGCCTGCACCGGTGCCCGTGCGTCGGAGCATTTACGGCCGTCCAGCGCGCCCGAGACAGATCGGTCGTCCCTTCCGACAGGGCGGCCGCTCCGGCTGAGAAACGCAGCGGCCGAGCGCTACCGCCGCGCCGGCCGGAGAGGCAGGTATGAGGTCGGAGGGGAAGAGGAGGGGTGAGAGACGAGCAGTGGATCTCGAGCACGAACATCCGACGGGCGACCAACGACCGGCGCCGAGCTGAGAGCATGGACGCCCGATAATCACGCTCAGGAATTGCCACTCCAGCCGGACCATCTTGTTACACACGTATGAGCACAGAAAAAAATGTTCGTGTTCGAGAGACCTTCGAAGAAAGAGTGACACGCGTTCGCGATGCATTTTATTACATCTTTCCTTAGAGATACGAGTGCACTGAACGATGTTAGATTGAAGATTCCGAAGTGTTTCCTCACAAGCAGCGCGTTGGATATTGCGATGCTGTATGCACGTTAGCAGTGCGCCAGAGCGAATGCCGCGCAGATACGGTCCCAGGTGCTAGGTGCCGGCGCCGGCGTGCATTATATTTGGTTCGTTAGCACCACACGCGCATGCAGTCGGCGCCGGAGCTCCGTTAATAAAGCCCGATCGGGACCCGGAGCGGCGCGGTCGCCTGTTTTTGCAGCTGCTGGGGGGCACCCCGGCCGCCTCCACGATCCCGGATAGACGGAAAGCCGGGCGACGCTAACTTAATTAGGTCGCATCAGGCATACTGAGCAGGCAGGCGGGCGCGGCGGCTGTTTTTGAGCGGCGAGCACACGCGCTAACGCACTCCACCTCGTGACGCCTTCCTTCTGACGTACGGCAATTAAAAACTGGGGCACGTACCAGCTGCTTCAGATGCGCAGCACCGACATGTAGCCAAATCTATCCCGCGAGAGCTGCGAACAAATTGCAGCCCATACACCACGGCCCGGCGCCATGACGGCGGCCGCAGGTCGTCCATTCGGAACCACCCAGTGCTGCGCGTCTCTACACGTAACGCCTCCACACGGGCGCTTGCGTCTTCAATCACTCCGCTGCCGAGCGACCACGTACTAGGCAACTGGTAAGTACTTCGAATGCTTTCGGATTCATTCGTCGTCGTTTCGTCCTCCAGCTAAGCAGCATTCAGACATACCAAGTCCGCAGACGATCAAACCAACAGTGAGATAAATTTTCCAGCAGCATCTGACAGTAACAAGCCTTCCACCAGCGTCCAGCAAGTAATGGAGCAACTGAATAGTCAAGAGCAGCCCTTCCAGGGGCTATACTGATTACTGAAGACGCTGCATGCTGAATAGGTACTGCATGCTGAATTGGGAGAAAAAAAGCAGTTGTATGACGCGATTACATCAGCATATCAATATAAGACACATGGCAGATCGTGTGTCCTAACATCTTGTGATGAATACTGAATAAGTGATCAGCAAATAGGATTGACAGCCTACAGATTGACCTGATCTGCAGAGCTAAATGTTCCATTACATACATTACATACTTATTTCTTTTTTTGTACATAAAAAAAGAAATAAGAATCATGTGATGTTTAAAAGCTAGCCAAGGTCAACTTTGCTTCAAATAAAAGGCACTATAAATTTGAACTTTATTTTTGAAGGTGTCAATGGGAACTGGCAACTGGGTCATATTCAATCATCCTGGAACTGGAGAAAAAAAACACTAGATAACTGGAGAAAAAAACTAGGATTGCAAAGCACAGAGGGAAATAGTTGTATCATGTCACTTGACAATCATGTCAAGACAATAAGGCTTACCTAATCTAGCATTACTTCTTACCATAATGGAAAAGCAAAGCATTGAATCCTGCACTTTCAGCATTACTAGGAATGGAGACAGCTGTGAGCAGCCACCATCTGCTCTTGTGAACTGTAATGAGCATTGTTCAACCAATCAGCATTTTAGATATCAGCACCTGAGGGCCCGACAGTGAAAAATCACTTGTGCAGCAAATTTTTGAGGATAAGATGAGTGGTTTGTATGGCATATCCAAGTACAATGTGGTCTAGCTGGTGCCTGTGCTTTTTATGTTTTGCAAAATAATGAAGCAGTGCAAACTGCATACCAAAAATAGCTTCCCTTTCCTTGGTATCTTCATTTGATTCAAAATTAAAATTGATAAAATATCATATCATTGCTAAAGGCACTAGGAAATAGAAAATGTTGCCATAGCAAGAAATGTCACTGGTATTGCTGCCTATAACTTGTTTGCAAGAATGTTCTCTCTGAGGCTAGTTTTACCAACAGAAAAGGTTGAAGGCTTCCAGTATTTTTACTTCTGAAAGCCTTCTACAATTCAAATCAATCATGTCAAGAAATGACATTTGGTTTCAAAACATCAGTTAGGCTGGCAGATATCTTAATGTAAGCATGTTTTTGCATGGCCCCTGAAATTTTGGGGTGACAAGCTAAAAAGTAACTGAAGTCAGTGATTTCTTGTTTGAAATATAGGCCTCTGGCTTGTGCTGTTTCATTGTCATGTACTGAATTGGCAGTGGCATGGCAAGAAGCAACAGTTAACATAAAATTGTCTAAACCTGAGCACGAGTCCAGCACCAGTCAGTCCAGTCAGTCCAGAAAACACTTCTTTAATATAAGTAGTCAAGTATAATAGGTGCCTTTTTGGATGCTAGTCAAGCAGCAGCTGCTCAACCCAACTCTACAACCCGTTTGATGCAGAATTGAAAGATATGTGATCAAATGACTAATGAGGCAAATTTCATCATTCAAGCTCCACATCAGGGACGACGGTGAAAACAGGGCGCCTGGGGCGATTTGATCAAGGTTAGTTAAATTTACACGTGAC